TTTCTATGATGGTGTATCATTTGGTTTTTCTTGTTTTAATGTTAAAATTTCTCCTGGATATAGCTAGATGCTCTGGCCTCTCTAAATAGTTTGCCTAAGCGGGGCATGGTGGCTCACACCTATAATCACAGCACTTTGGGAGGCCAAGTTGGGAGGACTGCTTGAACCTAGGAGTTCAAGACCAGCCTGGACAACATGGCAAAAACCAGTCTCTACAAAAAAAATTTTTAAAAATTAGCCAGCACGGTGGGATCTGCCTGTAGTCCTAGCTACTTGAGAAGCTGGGGCGGGAGGATCACTTGAGCTCAGGAGGTCAAGGCTGCAGTGAGCCACCTGTGATGGTGCCACTGCACTCCAGCCTGGGTGACAGAATGAGACCCTGTTTCCAGATAGATAGATAGATAGATAGATAGATGTTTTCTGAGTACTAAGTGTACTTTTTGATCTAAAAACTTAATTCTTCAAGTCAGGAAATTTTCTTTAATGATTGTTTCTCCATGGACTCTATTCTCTATTTCTGGAATGCCTATTATATAGGTATATTTGATTTCTGCATCTTTCTTTTCTTTCTCTCTCTCCCTTTTAATCTATTTATTTATTTATTTCTGAGTTATAGAGAAGGTTCTCAAAACAGTCTTTCCGGATTTGGTTTTTAATTGGAAAAAAATTTCCTGGTTTTGCATATTTTCCATATTCATATATAGATTGACTTTTGGAATTGTATTTACAATGTAAATTAGGGAATTTTACTGTTTTTGCTTCTTAGATTCGAATAACCCTAGTAATAAAGATATAATAACTTGGGCCGGGCGCGGTGGCTCAAGCCTGTAATCCCAGCACTGTGGGAGGCCGAGGCGGGCGGATCACGAGGTCAAGAGATCGAGACCATCCTGGTCAACATGGTGAAACCCCGTCTCTACTAAAACTACAAAAAATTAGCTGGGCATGGTGGTGCGTGCCTGTAATCCCAGCGACTCAGGAGGCTGGGGCAGGAGAATTGCCTGAACCCAGGAGGCGGAGGTTGCGGTGAGCCGAGATCGCGCCATTGCACTCCAGCCTGGGTAACAAGAGTGAAACTCCGTCTCAAAAAAAAAAAAAAAAAAAAAAAAAAAAAAAGATATAATAACTTATATCTTTTTTCATATGTCTAGAAATTTTTATCTAATTGCTCACTTTGTGAAGGGACCTAGATCTACATTTATTTGGGACTGAGGTTTGAAATGGGTCCTATGAAAGATGTGTAGATCATCTTCAAACATGTTGGTTCTGGCAATGGGAAAATAAGCAAAATGGAATATTTATAGTTTAGTTTTCTGGATTGGGAGATCCAATCCACCACGACCAGGGCAGGGAGAGCTTCTGAGAAGAGGAGAGCAGTTTGCTGTTCTGCTGGGCAACTTTGTTGAGGCAGTCCAAGGTTGGCCAGAAGAATGTCCCCTTCCCTAACTGGCATGAGCACCTGGTTGGAAACCTGCTGGCCAATGTCCTTGCTTTTCTGTGCAAACCAAAAGATGAGCTGAGCCTTGGCCACCTTCTCTGTGAGCAGGCACTCACAAATTCCCAAGGCTGCTCAATTTGTCTCCTGCTTACGCCCATCTCAGCCTTGCTCCTAGTCCTGGCTGTCTACTGTGGGGCTTTAGGGAGACTCTCCTGGCTTATTCTCCATTGTTTCCCAGGAATGCCTTTCTTTAGTCAATACATCCATCATCCTGGTTCCCTTTGCGCTGTACCTTGTAGAAATTCCTTGAAGTTTATGAGCCAGTAATGTGATTTTTTTTACTGATTTCCAGTGTGGAATAGGATTTTACCTATTTTATTTCTTTGTCTATTTCAATGGGAATTTGGAATGGGGATGATTTAAATGCATGGGTCCAAATTATGGTCTACAAACAACCATCAGATGCTGTAACTTTTCACAGGTCAGAATACAAAACTGATTTATTTACAGTGTCACCACTAGGTGGTGCCACCAATTAGTGAAAACAATGTGGTTGCTATGGCTGGACTTCAAGAACCACCTGCAGTTACTACAAGCACCAGTTTGTGAGTTGTTTGGAACGTGCATTCACCTGTGCATATTTACATGAGCATGTGCACACACAATTATTAGTGTGTGAGTTTTCCCACAGAGCAATGTTGATTTACAAGCCTGTGCATGAGTCTGTGCTAAATAATACGAGTTTCAAAAGGCTTACCAATCAGCTATATGGTCCAGAATGGGAGTTCCTTTGGTGGGAAGTTCCCAATCCTAGGGGCGAAATACAATGACAAGCTTTTCTGAGGCAGGGATCCTGAAACACAGCCACAGTGTCCTTAAAGTTATAAGTCTGGCAAACCCTTATGTACAGTCAAGCCTCCAAGAAGGTCTCTGTCTGTTTCTTCTTCTCCTCCTTTTTCTTCTTCTTCCTCCTCCTCCTCCTTCTTATTCTTCTTTCTTTTCAAGACAAGGTCTTGCTCTGTTGCCCAGGCTGGAGCACAGTGGTGCTATCTCAGCTCACTGCAGCTCAACTTCCTCGGCTCAAGCAATCCTCCCACCTCAGCCTCCTGAATATCTGGGATTACAGACACATACCACCATGCTTAGCTAATCTTTTATAATTTTTGTAGAGACAGGATTTTGCCATGTTGCCCAGGCTGGCCTTGAACTTCTGGGCTCCAATGATCCACCCCCCTCAGCCTCCCAAAATGCTGTGATTACAGGCTGCTGCACCTGGCTGTGTTACTTGTTAATATTTATGCCTAGTGTTCCGTTACTGGAATGCTAATTATGTGGGAGTTATTTATATCCTACTGATCAAGGTCATTGGCAAGGTCTGATTGCAAAAATAAATAAATAAATGCAAACTTAGGCATAAATGGGTTAAGTTGCAGAGGACTGTGGTCTCAAAGCCTGTCCTTCACTGCCCTTCTGGTGCCCAAAGCATCTAATCAAATGTTCACCTTGGGATCTACTATCCAGATGGGAAGTGAGGCTGCACCTAAGGAAACAGATGTTGTGTATATCCGTATGTGTGAGGAAGCCCTGAACCCCTGCCCCCTCCAGGCTCATTCGCATGTCCACGTCATCTTCCCACTATCTCTGTGGAAGGCCTGGCTGATCTCAGGCTCTCACTCCAGACGGCCCCTCACTGCAGGGACGGTGCTCTGTTGAGTACCTGCTGTATAGATTAGCTCACAAGGCTGGGGGAACTTAAGCGAGTCTTTCCCTTCTCTGGCCTCAGTTTCTCCATCTGTCAGTGAGGGCTGGGTCTGGGTGATTCCAAGGGGCCCTTTGAGCTGACTGAAGTTCTTCAAGTTCATGGTTGTAAGGCCTGGCCCTGCCCCACCAGTGGCTGGTCAGGGGTGGGAGTTTTCCTGGAGAAGTTCTGAGGATGAAAATCCTGTTTGACTTCCTCCTCCTCCTCCTCCTCCTCACAGCAGACTTCCCTCCTTAACTTCCCTAGGGAAGGCAGCGGGGCTCCTGGGGCCCCAGGAGTCTGCAGGAAGAGTTCTTACTTCAGCATCATTAAAAGTTCAAGTGGCTCCCCCAAGGGCCAAAGAAGTGCCAGGATTCATTAGACCTGTTGCCCCCTGAGCCCAATTTGTTTGAAGGGAATGTTTAGCCTTTTCATCTGGTGAGGATTTTCATTAAGAGTTTGAGGCCTCCCTGAGAGAGCTCAGCTCAGATTGAGGTCAGAGGGGGAAGGGTCCCTGGAGGTCACCTCTTGCCCTGGGAACTCTGCAGAGGAGACAGGCTGGGTCAGGGGAAGGGGTTTGCCCAATGTCACGGTGGAGGTGCTGCCAGGCTCAGAGAACCAGCCTTGCGGTGTCGGCAGACATTCCTCCAGATGGCAGGTGGCGGGGAGATGAGCACAGACCCCCAGGAGTCTCGGGGGAGGGGCTGAGGACTCAGCCTGGAGGGATCCTGCAGAGCCAGACACAGAACTGGGGCTTTGGGAGCCCCACTGCGTGTGAGGAAGAGCTTGGAGAACAGCCCAGCATGCCGATAGCAGAAAGCGTTGCCCAGGGAGAGCGTGAGCACCTGTCGCTGAGGCCCGGGAGCAGGATGGGATGGTGACTTCCAGGAGGAACAGAACGGATTCGAGCCAAGGGGGTGGGCTTGGAGGGAGAGTCAATGACTGCTCAGATCCTGCTGCTCTGTAAATGCTCCACTAGGTAGGAATGGCATTCACCACCGCTGTGCAGGGAAGGTGTGACAGAGCAAGGAGCACGCCATTATGGCCAGTTGAGACTGTTGAACTGGGAACCAGGAGGCCGGGCCTGTGCCTGCCCTCTCTGAGCTCAGTGGCCTCCATCCTGCCTCCCAGCCACCTTACGATGACACCCTGACCCTCCTGCTTCCCAGGACAGGCCGGATGGAGGACCTCCCTGGATGGTGAAATCTGCCTGCGGCGCCTCCCTGAGTTTCTCAAGCTCACTGAGCTCGGGCTGGTTCATTTGACAGAGCCTGACTCAGCCCCGGAGAGCTCTACAGGCCACAGGACCAGGAACCCCAGACCCTCAGATGACAATGTCTCCCAAGTCCTGGAGTCCACTGCAATGGTGTCAATGGCAAACGCGTGACGGGAGCTGATGTTGCTGTTTATACATCTCATCTCCTTTAGTCCTCAGCACACCCTATGGGGAAGGAACTGTTACCAGCCGTTTTACAGAAGAGGAAACAGGATGGAGAGGTCAAGTAACCTGTGCACAGTCTCGGAGCTTGTGAGTTGTGTGGCACCAAAGCCCGTGTGCTTCATCTCTGTTCCTCAGTCTCTACAAGAGGAGACGGAAGCCCGGAGAGGAAAAGTCGCTGAGCCAGGCGGTTTCTTTCCTCTAGACTCAGGGCTCCTCCCTCAACCAGATCCAGCCTGACAGCTCCTGTGTCTCCACCCAGCCTCCCTGCCAGGCCTCCCCAGAGTTCACAGCGGCCTGGCCCCACCCTTGGATAGCAGTTGCAGTCCAAACAGACTTCGCCCACATTCCCTGGCTGCTCTCCAGCCCGCAACGGAGACAACAAAGTTTAGTGACAGAGAGGGCTGAGCGGAGGCTGCTGAAGGGGAGAAAGGAGTGAGAAGCGCTGGGTAGGGGCTGTCTGGCTCCCAGATGCTGGACCTCCTGGGGAGCACGACCCTCACGGGATGGATCACAGGTGCTGCTGTGGCAGTCCTCCTGCTGCTGCTGCTTCTGGCCACCTGCCTTTTCCACGGACGGCAAGACTGTGACGTGGAGAGGAACCGTCCAGCTGCAAGGGGAAACCGAGTCCGCTGGGCCCAGCCTTGGCTTTTCCGGCGCCGGGGCCACCTGGGCCATCACCATCACCATCATCCTGGCCATGTGTCTCACGTGTCGAATGTGGGCTTCCACCACCACCACCACCACCACCACCCCCGCCACACCCCTCACCACCTCCATCACCACCACCACCAACACCCCCGCCACGCTCGCTGAGGCTGCCGCCGTGGGTTCCTGTGGACAGCAGCTGTCCCTGCCTGCCATCCGTTCCCAGGACAAGTGGACCCCATGTTTCCATGGGGAAGGATGCGTCTCTGGAGTGAAGGAGGGGAACGATGGCCCGGGGCCTGCGTGGGCTGCATTTGCATGCTATGCTATGGGGCATGCTATGCCCCACGGTACTATGGCAGCAGAGAATGGAGGAACACTGGGGCCTGCTACGCTGAAGGGTTTGGGGAGTGGAGAGCAAGAGTGCCTCTTTTGTGACTGTGACTCCCAGTGAGCCCCAGAAGTGACAAGGGTGTCTTGGCAAAGCCAGGACACAAGTGGATGTGAAGTGCCCATCTTGACCTCCTCATCAGACCACTGCAGGCCTCTGGCTGGCGGGGCACTGGGAGAGGCCCTGAGAATGTCCTTTTGGTTTGGAGAAGGCAGTACGAGGCTGCACAGTCAATTCATCGTTGCTTTAGTCCAGGAAAATAAAAACCACTAAGAAGCTTTTGTGAAGAGGCTCTTGATTGCAGCATAGCTGGCGGGAGGGAGGGAGCTGCCAGGCCTGCGTCCTCATTGCCCTGGGACCTCCCCCTCTGATGGGAAGTGTGTGTCTGGAGCACGCGGCTTCTGTCTGGGTCTTAGGGGCTGGTTGTGGAGTGGGAAGAATTGGGTGGGCTCTGTCTGAGCTCTGAGGGAGGATTTGGAGTTTGCCTAAAGCCCTGCCCACAGAACGTCCTGTGTGCACCAGCAGGGCTTTGGCCTTCTGTGGGACAGTCCAGGGCCTTGGGGACAGGAAGGTTGGAGCCGCTGCGAGGCTGGATCCCCAGGGCTCTGCCCCTGTACTCTTTTCAGCCCACATCCAGGGCCGACCGAGCTCTGGAACTAGAGGAAGCCCCACCCACAGGCTGTCTTGAATTCACTTTCCTTGGTAACTGGGTCAAGGTTTCTTCTCCAGACCTTGCATCTCCAGCCATGCTGCCCCAGCTAGTGCCTGTGCATGGTGGGAGGGCTGGGAGGGAGCAAGTGGAGTTCTTTAGGTGCTGGGGTGCAGGGTGTTGGATGGCCTTGGGAGAATGCTGGGGTCTCAGTTTCCTCTTCTCTACAATGGGGTGGGTAACAGAGATGCCCCTTGCTGAAGCCTGGAGGCTCGTTGGAATATGCTCTATGAAAGCTGGTGGTATCCACAGTGAGGAAGGAAGTCTGGCTCTGAGACCATCAGCCTGTGCCTGTGAGCTGAGGTGGGAAGTGGGGCCAGGCGGGGTGGTGGGGAGTGGCTGGAGAGCAAGCCAGAGAGTCAGGGGCCTGGTGACTCACCAGAACAGAATGTCCTCTTTCCTTTCTATTTCCCAGTGGATTCTCTGTGAGGGTTGGAGGAGGAGGGAGGGAGGGGGAGGCATTCAGACTGATTTCTTCCGCCCTAGGTTTCCGGGTTGGGAAAGTGGACCCTAGGCGGTCATGCGGTGTTGATTTTCTCTGCAGTGTCCTTCAAATCCACCCCCTGTAACCCAGGACCTCTCCATCCCCCACCTGGATTCCTGCCACAACTCTTCCTTCTGTTCCCTCCAGCCCTGCCCCTTTTCCAAGCATCTCCATGCTGATTTCACAGATGAATCAAAGAAGGGGAAGAGGTTCCCCTAAAGCTCAGAAACAGGAAAGGAAGCCTATGCAGGGCAGGAGAGAACCTGCTGAGCGATCGGCCTTTATTTCAGTTTAAAAATGCGGAACCACTCAGGCACTCTGCAGGCGGCCTACAGCTGTGTGTACCCGTCAAGAACAGCTGATGAGAAGTCACAGGAACAAACGTTAAAGCTTGACACACAGTCCCCTGGTGCCCTCTATCACCCCAGTTAAGGAGATGATGTTGGTAACTCAACCTGAAACCACAGGCCCCTGGATCATCCCATCAACTCCTTCCCTCTGCTTCTGGTCATCCCAGTTAATAAAAATAATCCAAGGAACCTGCTTCCTGTCACGGCCCACAGCCTGCTCCATGTGGAGGAGGAGCTCAGGGCCCAGATGGTCCCATCATCTCAGAAAAGGGACAGATTGAGAATATGACAGGCGATGGTTTGCTCTGAAAAGTTGCTCTCCCATTCTGTGCAAAGTGCCGGTTTCCTAATGCTGGTACTAAAGAAAGTTCCCTTGGGCCTTGGAGACACTGAAAAGGATCCAGACTTCGTGACCTTGGGCTGGCCCTCTGCCCTTTCTGGGACTCTGCACCCAGATCAGTAAAACTGCAGAATCAGATGACCTGTGGTCCCATGGTACCTGGAAAGGGCACTGAGCTAGGAGTGGAGGGAGGCTGGTCCCTCCTTAGCTACTGGCACTCCAGGTAACATGGCTAATTAAATATGGGCTACAGGGAGGTCATTTAATCTCTATAACTGGAGGATCTTTGTCTACAACATGGAGGCCATATCGCTACACAGGGTTGCTGGGAAGGTTATGAGGTCGTGTCTGGTGAGGTCCCATGCCTGGAGTTACTGTTCTCACTACTCTGTTTCCCAGAATATGGACAAAGTGGGGCTAATAGCCCAGTGTCCTTTCTGGACGTGGTGATGGTCTCCAGAGGTGTTGGGTGTGAAGGGGCTCTGACGTGGCAGACTAACTCAGTCACCTGGGCCTAGCTTATTCCCCTGACCTCCTGACAGGGAGCAGGGTGGAAATGGCTTGGGGCGCGCACGGCGGGGGGCGGGATAACTGGGGTTGGACGGCTGCTGAGTGGGTCCTGGGCCCTTCTCACAATTGGAGGAAGGAATTCAGGAAGTGCTCTCAGCTGCTCAGACATCTCCGAGCCAAGTTCCAAGCAGGACAACGTGGAGGCTGCGGCACCCAGGGAGGAGTGCCATGGTCCCTGGGGCGGCCACCAGGCCAGAGGGCTGAAGTACTAGGTACAGCGAGGGCTGGCCCTCGGGGAGCCCAGGGTAAGTCTTCATAGTACAAGAGTGTAAGCAGTGGGCTGAGTGGGCAGCAAAGAGGGCAGGCAAGGCCAGCACCCAAGAAGGCTTCTTCCGGGACCTCCAGGTAAGGAGTCCCACAGTCATGGACAGGCCTGGGATTCCCGGGGAAGCACGTGATACTCTATTTAAACTGCATGCTCCCAGCGCCAGGCAGAAAAGGCAACCTGCCCCCTCCTCCAGCCCCCGCTGAAGGCCCTGGCGCCTGGGGTGACCCGAGTGCCCCCTGCCTTGCCCAGAGCTGGCGCATGCCTTCCTCCCTCCTTGTGTCCCTGCCCCCAGCACAGGGCCAGGGGCTGGGGAAGCAGCAGATAGGCCTATTGAAGCAATGGCCCAAGGTCCTTTCTGGGGAGGAGCCAGGCTCCTCTTGCATCCACAGTAGGGGGAGTATTTTGTCTTTGGCCTCAGTGTAACTTGCTCTTGAAATCCGTAGGCGTCACCGGAGGGCCAGGGCTGGCTAGGCTGCCTCTGTGCAGCGTCTTCTGACCCCTCCTCTCCACCTCCTCTGTGTCTAGGGAGTCTGTTCTCACGTCTTCCAGGGCAGTGCTTCTTCTAGCTGAAATGGAGCTGACCACAGCTCTTGGAGGCCTGGCCTGAGGCATAGAAAATAGAGATTATCTGAGATTTGAGCAGTGGGGTCACTTGGCAGTGCCCGATGGCCTGGAGCAGGAGCGCCCCAGGGACTCAGAGCAGCGTCTTCTTAGGAGACAGAGGGAGAGCACCGGGGCCCAGCCATCACCAAGAGCCTCCTGTTCTGAATGGGAGTGAAGGCTTCGAGAGGACCTAAGGTTGCTCAGCGGGCCATGGAAACGGCAGTGATTGGAGTGGTGGCGGTACTGTTTATGGTGACTGTGACCATCACCTGTGTCCTCTGCTGCTTCAGCTGTGACTCGAGGGCCCAGGATCTACAGGGGGCCCCTGGGAGCAGCTTCACGGTGGCCACGTTTCACCGGGAGGCTTCTCTCTTCACGGGGCCTGGTCGCCATGCCCAGCCAGGGCCTAGTGCCCGGGACTTCTGGACCTTCATGTGAGGCCTGAGTCCCTAGGATTTGCTATACTGATGGATCAGACTCACCCGCCCCTCAGCAAGCCTTCCCTAGCCTTCCACCCCTCCCAGGGCTGCCTCCCATTCCTTCCCCTCCTGTAACCTGTGAGCTCCCCATCTCCTCTCCCACCCCAGCCTTCTGTGCCCTCCAGCCTGGGGGATCCTTGGTATTGGAACCCCTGAGCCCAGCTGGAGTCAACCCACAGGATGGGGCTTAGGAGGGGTCTGAGGAGTGAGCGAACAGACACAGCGCTGGACTGCAAGGCCGCCGAGTCTGCTGAGCTACACCAGGAACTGAAATACCACTGGAATTTATTGTAGGCGGTGTGCCTGCGACGCTGGTCTATTGCCACCTGAGGACACAGCACCCTCAAGTGGACATTTTTGGAAACCGCTTCTTACTTGCTCTCCTAATTGATTCCTTTTGCACATTGCACAGAACCCAGCCTCCAGGCCTGCTCCCTGCCATTTGCCTGAAATCAGCCCTAAAATTCTGAAGAGCTGCTTCCTGGGAACAAATGATTTACTTTAGAACTGAAAATGTATATCCTTTTACGGGCCTTTCCAAATCTGATTTGGAGAGAAAATAAGAGCCACAGAAAGCACAATGCTTTATTGAAAGGAAAGCCAGACATCTGATTTTTAAACATATTTTTAATGTGTTTTGTATTGCAATATTCTAACAGGTCACTTCTATTCTTAGAGAATGTGACTTGCGTTACCCAGGAGTGGCAGAAAAACCAGGAACTGAAAGATAATTCCAGACAAGTTAAAATGTTATGTTACATTCAGAGCATGTAACAAAGCTCTTGTTTTCATCACAAATAAAGACATATTCAGTTGTTGTTAATAGAAAACACATTCTCCCGTGGCCATGGAATAAATGCCGTGCTGTATTTAAGGAGTTTGGTTTGAAAGGTACAAAATCGGGAGCCTCCTGGCTCTTATGTCTGTATCTAGCCCTGAGTAGACGGCTCTCCCAGGACCTGTCTGTTGAGGGGGGCAGGATTGAGCTTTAGGGGCGCTCTGGCCTCTAAGGGGGTCCAGACAGGCTGCCCTTGCCATGTGGCTGCCACGGTAAGGGACCTCAGAGAGTGGCTTTGAGATGGAGAGGTATACAGGGAGGGCGCCTGAGGGATGGGGAAGAGCATGGTGGGCGGGGCTCAACTCAGGCCCCAGAGCTCCTGGGACCAAGTCCTGGACACTTCGAAGGCCAGTCCCCCATACAGGGCCTTCACAGATGCACAGGGAAGGGACCCGGCATGTGGGGAGGCCCTGGAGACAGAGGGAAGAGAACTTTTGCGGGCTGTATTCTCTAAAAGCCAACACTGAGGCAAAGTTTGGGTGCAAGGTATTTGTCAGGGATCATCTCCTGCAAGGGGAAGTATCGAGTCCAGCCCGGCTGTAGAGACCCCCATCCAGGCGGCGCTAAAGGAATTAAGAAGTAGATACCCAGATAGAACAGCAAAGTGAAAGGGAATATCCAGACGCCAAAAACCTTTTCCCCAGCCTTCCAAGCCAAGAGCCTCAGGGGCTGACAGCATTCCGGACTAAGGGCCTCGAGCAGACTCTGACCCACGTCTCTCTGAACAGGTGATTATTATTAACAGCAGGTGTCCTGTGGTTTCTCATAGAACCAAGATAAACTAGGCGGGCCGTTGGTGCCTGCTTACCACCGATTGCAGACAAACTAGGAAGTATTCTCCACGAGGGAGCCACGGGGCAGGGTCACACAGTCCGTGCTTAGAGAGTTGTTTTAACAGGTGTGTGGTATACATACACTGTTGTGCTACTTCAGAATGCCCCAAGCAGTTTTTTCACTCCGTGGGGGAGCAGGTAGGTTTTCCTTGCCATGGTTCTTCTTAGCAAACAATGTATTTTATCATCCGCTCAGCATTTGTCAGCAGGGAAGAAGGAAGGAGCAGGATTGGGTAGAGGAAAAAGTCAAACCTTGATACAGGCCCTTAGTATCCCCACACCTTTGCTCCGTTTCTGAGTCCCTCCCCTCCCCCAGGGTCTAACCTTAGCCAGGGCAGCTCAGCAGGCCTCGACGTCCTATTTTATTATTTTAATTTAATTTAATATTAGGAGATGGGATCTCACTCTGCCACCCAGGCTGGAGTGCAGGTGTGATCATAGCTCACTATAGCCTTGAATTCCAGGGCTCAGTCAATTCTCCCGCCTCAGCCTCATGAGTAGCTGGGTCTATAGGTGCATGCCACCATGCTAGCTAATGAAAAAAAAAACGCTTTCCTTCTAGAGACGTGATTTCACTATGTTGCCAAACCTGGTCTCGAACTCTTCCAACCTCAAGTGATCCTCCCACCTTGGCCTCCCAAAATGTTGGGATTACAGGTGTAAGCCATTGCATTTGGCTGAAGTCCTTCCTTGAAAGGGGACCTGGCAGCACATCTCCACGGGAACTCAGTAGGGTCCTGTTCTCGGAATAGCCTAGACCGGTCAGAGGTGGGTTCGTATGTCTAGACACAAAGAAAAACCTGGGCACAGGAGACCCATGTGGGGAGAGATGGCTGAGCAGGATCTGGGAGGGGAGAAGAGTGGGCCTCGGCCAGATTCAGCTCTGCTCCAGCTCCGGCACCCTTCAGCAGGAGCCAGGCCCAGCACTCTGCTCTTGTACTGTGTGGTCACAGTGCTCACCAGGTCAGTCCAGGAGGGTCTGCAGGCTGGAATCACAGGGCTGTGAAAACAAAGTGCTGGTGGAGAGGGCGTGGGGGCGGAGCCGGCCTCCCTCTGCAGGAGACAGGTTGTCTGCCGAGCCCAGCACACTCTTGGTTTGTTCATTTGCCCATCTGCCCACCTATCCATCCACCCATGCATTCACCCATCCATCTACTCCTGGAATAGATGCCACCTCACTTACCCATGCATTCATTCACTTATTCAGTAAATACTGGGCACTGACTGTGTATCCAGCCCTGCCAGGGAACGAGGGGGTCAATTGGACATTTGGACCTCGTGAACTCCTAGATAAGGCTGCAGATAACACACTCTAGGTGCTCGCGGAAGGGAGTGGAGCTGGGAGGTGGAGGCCTTATGAGTTGAACTTGGAGAAGAGAGGGGACTTCAGAAAGCAGAATTTGGGGGAGGTACTGTGGGCAGGGGGAGCAGCATGAATGGGGGTTCCGAGTCCATGTAGGGGAAGGCGGTCAGTGGCTCAGCTTGGCCAGGCACAAGGAAATGAGGCTGGACAAGAGCCAGCTCCTGGGGAAACGCTTCTGGCCGCATCTGGTCCAGCATGTTTCCAATGCAGGGAGTAGACAGGCAGGCTTGAGGCAGGCTGGCAGGCCCAGCCTCCAGAGACACATGTAGCCGTGGCAACGTGCTGTCACTGCAGGGAGGGTGGCTCAGGAGCTGGCGGGAAGGTCCTCCAAGGACGCTGGTGGGGCCAGGCCCACGTGGAGGTGGATCCGAGAAGCTGTCCCAGGAGAGCAGGAAGTTTGAAAAAAAGAGGGTTGTCAAGTCCAGTACCCCGGAATGGGCTGACGAAGAGAAGGGCCGAGGAGAAGCAACTGGAGAAGGGACAGGAAGGTGGGGAGCATGGGGAGCAGAGAACTGGGGAAATGGGGTTGCCAGGTTTGACAAATAAAAAGACAAGACACCCAGTTAAATTGGAATTTTGGACAGGCAACAAATACGTGTTAGTATGAATATGTCCCATATAACATTTGGGACATGCTTACACTAAAAATTCTTTGTCTATCTGAAATTCAAGTTTAACTGGGCACCTTGCATTTGATCTTGCAACCCTGTGGAAGTGGGAGGGGGAGGGGGTCCCGAGAGGGCTGGTCCGCTGGAGGAGAGCACAGGGGGCTGGACAGAGGAGCCGAGATGAGGTCCTGCGCTTTGCAGCATGGTGGGTGATGGCAATGTTGGCGAGGACGCTCTGAGTGGAGGGAAGTGAGCAGCCCCCCACACACACTCACACCAGATGTGCATGTGGTGTGTGTGTGGTGTGTGCATAAATTGTATGTGTGTAGTGAGTGTGTGTGGTGTGAGTGGATGTTGTGGTGTGTTTTTGTGTATGTGGTGTGTATATGTGCTATTAATGTGCATATGGTATATATGTGTAAGATGTGTTTGTTGTATTTGTGTGGTGTGTTTGAGTATGATGTGTATGTGGTATGTGTAGTGTGTGTGTAAGCTATATGTGTGTAGCGAGTGTGTATGTGTTTTTGTATGCTGTGGTGTGTGTGTATGCTGTGCTGTGTGTAAGCTGTATGTCTATAGTATGTGTTTTGTATGCTGTGTGTGAGTTGTATGTAGTGTGTATTTGTGTTTTTGTATGCTGTGGTGTGTGTGTAAGCTGTATGTGTAGAGTATGTGTGTGTTTTGTATGCTGTGTGTGAGCTGTATGTAGTGTGTGTTTGTGTTTTTGTATGCTGTGGTGTGTGTTGGTCCCAGGTGCTCCTGCCATTCTCCCCATTATATGGGAAGCCTCTCCCTCTGACCCCAAGGGCAGGAGGTGGGCTTGCAGGGACAAGACTGAGGCTGACGCCAACATGCAGCAAAGCCGAGAGTGCTTATCTGGTGGCAGTGAGGGAAGCAGCTGTGCAAGGTCACTCTGGAATCTGGGGCAGAGCCACTCTTGCACTCAGGCTTCCAGCTTCCAAATCCAATGTTCTCTCCATTCATTCTACTCCTATTGCTTGTTCCATTTACCAGACTCTTAGGACACACCAGGCACTTGTGCTTCCTCTGTGCCCTCTCATGAGTGCACACAGCAACTCTATCACCACCATTTTACAGATGAGGGAACTGGGCCCCCATGAGGCACTTTGGTGAATACCAAATCTGCAGAACCATGCTAAATTTCATTTTCCTCCATAAGTGGTATCTGCTCCCAGCCAACTCTCAGGGAGCCAGTTCATATCTTCAGGAGGACAGGAGCCAGAGGATCTGATCTGCCACAGGTTCACCTGAGCAAAAGGCACCTGCATCTTCCCCCACCCCACAGAAGGAGTTTCACTCTTGCTGCCCATGCTGGAGTGCAATGGCGCGATCTCAGCTCACTGCAACCTCTGCCTCCCGGGTTCAAGTGATTCTCCTGTCTCAGCCTCCTGAGTAGCTGGGATTACAGGCGCCCACCACTACACCCAGTTAATTTTTGATATTTTTAGTAGAGATGAGGTTTCACCATGTTGGCCAGGCTGGTCTCGAACTTCTGACCTCAGGTGATCCTCCCATGTTGGCCTCCCAAAGTGTTGGGATTACAGGTGTGAGTCACTGCACCCGGCCCTTTTTTTTTTTTTTTTTTTTTTTTGAGATGGAGTTTTGCTCTGTCGCCTAGGCTGGAGTGCAATGGCATGATCTCAGCTCACTGCAAAAGCGATTCTCCTGCCTCAGCCTCCTGAGTAGCTGGGATTCAAGGTGCACATGACTGCCCCTGGCTAATTTTTGTACTTTTGCAGAGATGGGGCTTCACCGTGTTGACCAGGCTGGTCTTGAACTCCTGGCCTCAAGTGATCCACCGGCCTCGGCCTCCCAAACTGCTGGAATTACAGGTGTGAGCCACAGCACCCGGCCCCATCGGCATCTTTGACTTGAAGAAGCAGGTCTTTGCCCTCTGCAGTTCTAATGGACAGTCCAGAAAGCCTCCTTCAGAGAGTAAACTTCTGTGGAGGGCTGGAATTAAGGGTTAACAGACATCAGTTCCAACCCAGCCCACTTAAGGCCTTCCAAAGGCTTTGCAACTGCAGAGATACAGGCTGTGCCTCTCTGAGCAACAGGTCTAGCGTCCCTTTCACCTCCTGGGGCTTCTATCAGCTCCACCTGGGGCAAAGGGCAGGGAGAACCCTGCTCGGTTCTGTCTCAGCCCCACTGGGATGTGGAAAAGCTAATCCGAGCCCCACGTCTGCCACTCACTTGCTGGGCCTCAGTTCCCCTGGCTGTACTGAGAAGATGAGAATCCCATCCTGGCTTCTCTAGAGGATGTGTGAGAGTGAAGATACTGGGAACCCAGCTGTCAGGAGCAGGCAAGGGAAAGAGGCCCCCATCCCTCCCTGCTCCAACGTTTGCCTTGCTCTTTCCACGCATTCCTGGACCTGACAGGGTGGTGTTTCTCGCTGGGACAGGCTGGATTCTGAAATCTAGGAGCCCTTGAAACAGGATGTTTTCCGGAACAGTACCTTAAAGGAAACCACTTGTTCCAGGGAATAGAAAGGGTCATTGTACCTTGCCAGGTCCCTAGTTCCCTGAGGACATGACACTTGAAAAAGCAGACCCAGTTGGAGACAGGTGTGCACCCCCTGCCCCATGCCTCCATTCAGCATGTTCTTAACAGTGAAAAGTTAGAAAGCACCTCAACACCAACAAGAGGGGGCTGGGCTGGCAAATTCCAGCACAGCCACAGAAGCAAACACTAGGCAGGCATAACAATGAGGTAAATGGGCATTTATCTTGTACTGGTAAATTAAAAGGAAGTTAGAGGACTTAGACTTACAGAAGATGATGTGGAGAGCTGTATGCCACAGTGTTGACAGACTGTTGTCTCTGGGTGGATTGTTTGTGCATTTTATTTTATATATATATATTTTTTTTTTGAGATAGCGTTTCATCTTTTTGCCCAGGCTGGAGTGTAGTAGTGCAGTCTTGGCTCACCGCATCCTCCGCCTCCTGGGTTCAAGTGATTCTCCTGCCTCAGCCTCCCAAGTAGCTGGGATTACAGGCATGCGCCACCACACCTGGCTAATTTTGTATTTTTAGTAGAGACGGTGTTTCTCCATGTTGGCCAGGCTGGTCTCAAACTCCTGACCTCAGGTAATCTGCCTGCCTCAGCTTCCTGAAGTGCTGGGATTATAGGCATGAGCCACCGCACCTGGCCTGTTTGTGCATTTTAAATGTTTTCTCTTTATGTTTATCTGTTCTCAAAATGAATGATTTGCTCTTGAATAAGAAACAGCAAGAACCTTACAAAGGAACAAAAGTTATTTTAAAAATTAGAAAACAAACCAACTCCAATCTAAGATAGAGATACAAAAACACAGGCATGGACACAGATGGGGCAGACAAATTTCTCAGAACAGATACAGTGATAAGACACACACACACCTGCCTAATTCACATGGCTGACGTAGGCAAGGCTGGGGAGTTGCAGGGGGTGGGGGTTTGCCAAGTTTCCAGAAACACTGGAGTCTGGGTGTTGGGGTGGCTGCTGGAGCTTCTGGGCAGGTTGGGTGGGCTGAGGAGAGTAGAGGGAGCGGCCAGGGGCTCAAGAGCCTGAGTGACAGGCCTGGCTGTACCCACACCCAGCCTGTACCTCCTGGGACAGGGCAGGGCTCCTAATCCCAGCTCCCCAGTGCAGGCAAGGCTGAGGAGCCTGCCGGGGCAACTCTTCCCCATCCCAGCAGTGGAGGAGACAGCAGGGTCCACAGCTGGTTGGGGGGCTTCCTGGCAACCACTTCCAGGCTGAGGCCTTGCCAGCTGCCTACAGACCCCACTTAGGAAGCCAGGCCTGTGGTGGCTCATACAGGGTCCCTCTGTCCTTGTCCTTCTGAAATGCAGGCACAGCCACAGCCTTGCCACTCACTTGCTGGGCCTGTTTCCCTGGCTGTACGGAGAAGATGAGAATCGCATCCTGGCTTGTCTAGACGGTGTGTGAGAAGATGCCTCATTCACATGGCTGAGGTAGGCAAGTCTGCGGAGTTGCAGGGGGTGGGGGTTTGCCAAGTTTCCAGAAACGCTGGAGTCTGGGTGTTGGGGTGGCTGCTGGAGCTTCTGGGCAGGTTGGGTGGGATGGGACCTGGCCCGAGACAAGGAGTGGCTGCCTCCTATTTCAGGTGCCAGTCGACTGGCTCACCCTGTGTCCTCCATCCCCACTGTCACTGTCCTTGTGAAGACCCCACCATGTCGTCCCCTCATGGGTGGGCCTCCCTGGCCTGCCTCACCCCTGCCCGCCCGGCCGCCAGAGGGCTCTTTCTTGGACACACAACTAACTCCTTAGAGGGCTACTGGGCAGGCCTCAGTTCCCACCTTCAGACTTTGCTATCTGTGGCACACGTAATAATGGTTCCTCAAAGATGCCCGTGTCCTAATCCCTAGAAGCTGAGAAAATGTTGTGGTCTCAAAGGGGAATTAACATTGCAAATAAATCACAGTTGCTAATCAGTTGACCTTAAATAAGATTATCCCAGATTATCTGGGCAGGCCCAAGGCGGTAAAAAAAATGCCCCTTCACTGGGGAGGAGGAGGGCAAAGGAATCGGGGGTGATGCGAGAAAGACCGGAAGACAGAAGCAGGCCACCAGCCAAGGAGTGTGACACTTTCTAAAAAACCAGACCGGAAAAGACAAGAAAATGCTTTCTCCCCTGTTGCCTCCAGATGGGAACACAGCCCTGCCAACATCTTGATTTTAGCCTAGTATAATCCTGTTTTGGGCTCTGATCTCCGGAACTGTAAGCTAATGCATTTGTGTTGTTGTAAGCCACTAAATTTATGCTAAGTCGTTATCGCAACAAAATATTCTTAGTTCAACTATTAGTGCTCACAAAAACTTAGCCTTGAATTAACTCCTCTAGTTAAATCTGTTCCTGGCCGCCAAGAAACCAGAAAGGTGGCCTCCGAGGTGGTGAGGTCTTAGAGCTGAAGAAGGCTGTTGGGTCTGGAGGATGGATGGGCTGACCACTTTAGAGATAGGGATGGGAATCAGAAATCACACTTCTTAGGAGGATCAGAGTGATAATGTGGCAGTTGTCAGGCCCTGCACCAGGTGTTGGATAACGTGCAAACCCAGCCATCCCTATCCTTCCCTACAGAAACATCCACACAAGTATGTCCAAGGATGTTCTTATAGTGTTGTTTCCATTAGTAAAACATTCCAAAAATCCAAGTACCCATCAATTGGGAAATATATAAAGATTATGATACAGCCACCAAAAAATGGAATAATAGGCAGCCATTACAAAAATGTACTGACTTGGAAACTGCCTTCTCTAACTAGAGAAGAAACAGCAAGTTACAGAATGGTCTCATAAAAAAAAAAAAAATTTCTCCTCAAGAAAACAAAAGAATAAAAACAGAAGTGAGATCCAGAGACAGCTTAGTTGGTTACAGCTTAATTGGTTAATTAGTTCTAGCTAAATGTCTTACCTTATTCAACTCAGCTGACCTACTGTAATTCATTAAGTTCAGCTGTGTGACTTACTGAAACTCAGCCATTTGCAAGAATGTATTCCCAAATTAATTTCATTAAGCATGATGGCTTCATATTGGTTTGGTTTGGTTTGCTAGGCTCAGTAAAGGAGCCTAATTTAAATCAATGACCTCCTATTTTAACACAAAATAACTTTTTTAAATGTAAAGATAACACAGGTTAAGAAAGCAAACTTGACTATCCTGTTCTGTGACAAATAGCTGTTATTTGCAAAAAGGACTCCCTGGGTTGAGGGAGACCAGAGCTCCACTTAGCAAGGCCACTCAGGAAACAGATGGACCAACTTGAGTTCTGTTTCTGTGTGAGCTCATCTGGGGAATGAGACACTGAATCTTCTGAGTGGAAAAGTGGAGTCATGCAAGCCCTCCTGGCTTCTGCAGAGGTGAGAGCTGATGTTCTGGGAAGGGAACTGACATATTCCTCTGCATTTTATGGCACTTCCAGACTAAAATATAACTTTCTGGCCTCCATTTCAGTGAACTTTGAACTTCCTCATAATTCACATTCCCCTTTTTAGAAACCATAATTTTTATGTGAGGGATAACATTTCAGTGAACTTTGAACTTCCTCATAATTCATACTCCCCTTTTTAGAATCCATAATTTTTATGTGAGGGATAACATTTTCTGTTTTACAGCCTGATCCTGGCTACTTACAGAATGACTGCACTTTAAACTCAAGGTCATCTTTGCACCCTGTAGCCCCAGCCCTTAAAAGAGACAAACACTGGCAGAGAGATGGTCCCAGGAGAGCAGCCAGGAGGAGGCACTGGAGTTCAGAGCTCCAGTCCCAGCTCTGCCCATCTGGCTCCTATGGCAAGGGTTGCATCCAGCGTGTGGACGTCCCCTCTCCTCAGTGAGGCTGTGAACCCTCTGAGGTCAGTGCAGTGTCAGAACAGCGACATTGACATCTGTCTGGCTCAATGGCCTTCAAGGTGTCCTAAGTTTACAAAGCTCTTTCCCAAGCGTCTCTCAGTTGTCTCCCATAACAAGCCTCGGGGCCCAGTAGAAGAGGCTATATTAACTGCAGTTTACAGATGAGGAAACCAAGACTTAGCGACGCAAAAGTGACGGGCCCCACCCCAAGTAAGTCAACAAATTGGTCACAAAGTTCGGCACAGGACCTTATTCTCCCTTCTTCTTCAGCCACAGCCTCATTTTTGCCTCTTTTATATCTTCTGTTTCCCAGGTAGATTTTGTTCCATAAAAAGGGGTCTGCCACTTTAAAAGGTGTTTGAAAGCTCCAGAATAATGTTTCCAAATTCCCAACTAATACTTTAGTATTCAGGAATGAGAAATTGAAATTTCTGGGAATTCATGAACATTCCTGAAATTATACTTTTTTTTTTTTTTTTTTTAAGACAGGGTCTTTACACTCTGTCACCCAGGCTGGAGTGGCATGATCATAGCTCACTGCAGCCTCGAACTCCTGGGCTCAAGTGACCCTCCTTCCTCAGCCTCCTGAGTAGCTGAGACTATAGGCACATGCCTGTAGAGTATGCCCCTAACATCTTCAAGTTAGCCATTAGGGTATTCCTGGCTATTTCGTTTTCTTCTTTTGTGAAGACAGGGTCTTACTGTGTGACCAGGCTGGTTTTGAACTCCTGGCCTGAAGCTATCCTCCTGCTTCCGCCTCTGAAAGTGTTGGGATTACAGGTGTGAGTCACTGCACCTGTCTCATATTTTCTGTAACATTGTATTTACAGGCTTTTAAATAATAATGAGAGATCAAAATAATAAACAGTTAAAAATTTCAGTGACAAATTGATGCTAAAAGTTTCAGATTCTTTTCTTATGGTTTATTATTATTACGAGCCAGTGTGTTGTGACAACATTATTTCAATAATGTAAAAATTCCATCTGATAATAGACACTGGATATAGAAATCATTAAAAAGGAGGAAATATTATTGCAAAACAAATGCCGGATAAGAATCACTTAAAAATGGAAAAACAATAGCACAAACACTTAATTTTAAACGTTATTATTTTAAAAACAAACTTTTAAAACACAAAGCTTTAATTGCTCCATCTGACAGTTTTGATCTTTGCTTTGTGACAAATATTCTAGATGTAGAAAACATTTTTTTTCATTTTTCATTGATGTTGGTTGAGTGTGCCCCTACCATCTTCAAGTTAGCCATTAGGGTACATATTGCTTTACAGAAGCTTATTTCCTTTTTTAATGATGCTTTATTGTTGTTATTATTTTGGTCTACTTACCCTGGTCTTGATTTTGCTGTTGAGTTCAACGTTGTTCTTGCTAATTCAGAGTTTGGAGCAGTTTCTGATTTTTGTTGGAGTGTTCAACAGCAGTCACGTCTTCTTTTTGCGTCTCCCCTGTTAAAGTATTTACAAAGAACTGTAGCCTATAGTGAATATTCAACACTTGGAAATGCCAGTGATCATTGTTGGGAAGTGTTCAAATAACTCACATTCTAACATTCAGATTCACTAACAAGGTTCATGGAATCACTTGTTGGAATTGCCAATTTCAAGACTCATTTTGCTTTCAAAATTTGTTTTTTTCCAACACTGCTCATAGGACTTGTATAAGTATCTTATGTGTGTAAATTACCAATTTTTTTTATTTGCAAAAATGACTTACCATTAGAAGCAGACCAGGCCGCAAACACACACTTGTAACCAGTGTGTGCTGGTAAGCTGACTCTCCTGGGGAGGGGAAAAAAAGCCCTGATATGTAAGGGTTTGCCAGATTCTGAGGGGAGGCATAAGTGCTCCCACAGTGGTCAATGCCCAGCTACATAAGGGATGTCACTGAGAGCTGGGAAGAGCGGCTCGCAACTGGCTCTTCCTGAACCAGCTCCAGAACACCACTGCCTCTGCCCTGGCAACAGCAGTTGGAAGACTCATTAGATGATGGCCTTTTCTCTCCTCTGCTCCCCAGTTCCATTCAGAACTTCACTTTCAGATGGATGCCTCAGTATTTTTTACTCTTACTTTTGATTTGTTGTCAGTGGAGTCCTTTGAACTGGTAACATCTAGTTCAACATGTTGATTGCTAAGCTTTAATTCTCACACAAGAACACATTTACCGGGTTCCTAGATGTCTTAACTTCTTTTTCTCAGAAATTGGCATTTGGAAAAACATAATATTTCTGAGAAATGCTGGGAAGGAATTCCTGCCAAAAACACAAATCCAGGAAACCCGAGTTAAACCCATTTGCTTGACTGATCATGATCCTATTGGATACATTCTCATGGGTCCCAATTTTGCCCACGGCTCATTTTCATTGATCTCATTTTAGAGGGTTTTAGGTATGGAGTACTTAGGATTTGGTGTTAAGTTTAGTGATTTTTCAGACAGGCTGATCACCAGAGCTGCACCAGTGATCATTTGACTTTACGTCTGACCCTGTGCACGGGTGGCTACTTGTCACCTAACCTCAGTTCTCCTCTTTTTCTTTATTAGAAAAAAACAACATCAGCACAGTCCCTCCTGGAGCTAGGAATGGCCAATAGAAGTGGTGCATAACTTCTGGGAAATGTCCTTAAATAAAGGCGGAATACTCTTCCTTGTTTTTTCTCCTTCATCTGGCCAGAATGTGAATATGATGGCTGGAGCTATAGAAGTCACACTGGACCACAGAGTGACCTTGGGAGTAGAAGCCACACATGAGGGAACAATAAGTTAAAAGGGGCCTGGGTTCCTGATATTGTGGGAGCCCATATCAGTCCTAGACTGCCTTCTTCCAGGCTTTTATACAAAAACAAAACAATCTTATGCAAACCACTATTGATATGTGGTTTTCTATCACTCATAGCTAAAACAAATTAACCAGCATACCAATGCATTGCATTCTGTTAAATAGTTTATGGGGTGACACTGTTTTGGACTAGTCTCCTACACTAGGTCCCAGCAGACCACAGCAAACCAGAATGAAGTCACCTGTGCTAACTGCCACATCGTCAAACCAGACTTCGAAATGAGACTGTTTTCCAAAAACACAGGAGATTCCAGGCACCCTAATCAGCACAATAAAAAGAACCCTCTGCTTTAACCCTATAAGGAAAGTAACTTTGAAAATGGCCAATCTGCTGTTTGTTCCCTGTTTCTGCTTTCTTCAGCCCTCTTTTATCCATAAAGCCAAACTTCTCTGCCCAGCTCACTGGAATACTCATTCTATTTCATAGAATGAAATGTTGCCTGGTTCTAGAATCATAAATAAAAGCCAATTAGATTGTTACAAAAAATGTGTTGTAATTTTGCCTTTAGGGAGTTCCTAGTGAAAGCAAAGGCCACTAGCAAGAATTATTGAAAGGTTGGTATTGGGGGTGACAGTGAAAGACCATCGCATTATCCAGTGACTCAGAAGGTGTGGGAGGCTGCTGCATCTCGTGATAATGGATGATAAATTTGGAATAGAAGCGACTGTGGTTTCATCCATGCCTGTCTTCCCATCTGCCAAGAAGGCTGATAAATAAGCTTTTATACTGCTCTAAGTTGGTAAAAGAAGTTTTCAGATTTTTAATCTTTAAGGATCTTTTCACAAATGCCAGTGATCTTTCCTTTTCAAGACAGGGTTTCACTCCTATCACACAGGCTGGAATGCAGTGGTGAAATCTCAGCTCACTGCAACTTCTACCTCCCAGGCTCAAGCGATCCTCTCACCTCAGCCTCCTGAGTAGCTGGGACTACCGGTGTGCACCATCATGCCCAGCTAATTTTTGTATTTTTTCTAGAGACGAGGTTTCGCTATGTTGCCCAGGCTGGTCTTAAACTCCTGAGCTCAAGTAATCCACCCGCCATGGCCTCCCGGAGTGCTGGGATTATAGGCCTGAGCCACAGCGCCTGCCTCTATGCCTATAGCAGACCCCTCAAAGGCTAGAACGTACCTTATTGTTCTGCCAGTGAATGGTTTAGGAACTGGCTGAAGGAACTGGAGGATTCAGTCTAGGAAGAACTTACAGGAGTTGAGATTGGGTTTGCGAGCTGCTTTCACACATCTAAATAAAAAAGATTTAGCCTTCTTCACGGAAGGCCCTAGGCCAAAACCAGAACCAAAAGGTGGAGGCTGCCAACTTTACCCTAAATTAAAGAGAAGCCTTCTATCCATCAGAACTGGATGGAGGTAGCTTTTTGATAGCACCTCTCCACTGGTGGGAATATTTAATCAAAGGATGCAAAAGGAGTCATAACTGAGCAGCAGTTCCCATATGCCATCCTATGTATTGGTATCTACCTGTCTATAAAATTTTCCAGGTCTCAGCCAGGCGCAGTGGCTCATGCCTATAATTCTAGCAATTGGGAGGCTAGGGTGGGAGGATCTCTTGAGCCCAGGGGTTACCAGTCTGGGCAACATACGGAGAACCTGTCTCTACAAAGAATTTAAAAATTATCTGGGCGTGATGGTGCACACTTGTGGTCCCAGCTACTCAGAAGGCAGAGGCAGGAGGTCAAGGCTACAGTGAGCTGTGATTGTGCCACTGCACTCCAGCCTGGGTAACAGAGCAAGATCCTGTCTCAAAAAAAAAAAAAAAAAAAAAAAAAAAAAAAAAAAAATTCCAGGTCTTGTTTTCCAAATGAGAGAAAAAAGACAATGTGGTATATTAAAAAAAAAAAAATTTGCAGTTTTCTTTATTACAAGATTATGTTCTGTTTCAGGAGGTGTTATAATGTCTTTTTTCAGTAGGCGGTATTAGCTATTGTTGTGTACCATCCTAATATGACAAGGTAAAATCTTAGCAATCCCATATAATTCCATTAAAATTTACACTAGCTGTGAGATCCGGAAGTCTGGTAACCACCTGGTAATATGGATGAGATGACACCTCGTTGTCTGAATTGACCTTCCAGGATTTGTAGTTTATTCAAGTGGCTACTAATGTGATTCTTTTGTGCTTTTAGCAGCTAGATAATTTCATGGTGCAAGTCAGAGAAACCAGTAATATGGTCCACTTGCTTACAGTAACTTAAACTTTATTGACTAAGTATTCATTTTTGACACACACAGCTACTTTTTCATAGACATGAATTTTCTATTTGCATTTAAAAACAAAACTAATTTTCAAAGTTCTATTCTCAAAGTGACAATGATGACCTTTCTAAATGCTCTCTTTAAATAATCCTCTAATATTCTCAGAAATTTAGTGTACCTCCAACAAACTATTTCTCTTGGTAAAAGCCTTCTGTGAGCATCTTAACTGGCTGATGTCTTTATCCGTGTGAGCAGGTACTGGGTCCTGTCTATACAGAGCACAGAGCGTCTAGCATGATGCCACATTAATGTAATGGTAATAATTTCCATTTGTCTAGAGGCTTATGCTTTAGAAGGCCCTTATAGTTTACTTCCCCTCAATGGCAGAGAATGACCTTTTCATTGTCCTTCTCTGTGATAAGCCAAAGTGAATGTAATGCACATCCTCATAGTGAAGGCTTCCTACCTCATTCATTTACTCACAAAATATTTATTGGGCATGATTATGTGTTAAGCACTGAACTGAGCTCTGTGGTGCTGGGCACTGTGTGTTAGCTACAAACATGACAGATGGAGCCCCTTCCCCCATGGAGTGAACATTTTAACGGGGAGTTAGTCAATAAACAAATAAATAGATTGCTAGGGGGTAATGAGTGTAATGGGGAAGAATAAAGCAGTAGGAACTGGGAAGCAATGGGACGATGTCAATCTTAGGGACATGAGAAGGCACCCTCATGCAGAGACTTGGGCAATGTGAAGGATCGCCACAGTATGACAGATTGGAGGAAGCACATTCCAAGTCTTGTGGCAGAAAGGAGCTTGGCTATTTGAGAATCAGCAGTGACATCAGTGTGGCTGGAGGATAGGGAAGGTGGGGTGAGTGGGTGGGAGATAATTTCAAGAGGTGGACAGACTGCAGATTATATGGGAATTTGGATTTCATTCTCAAGGATGATGGGACATCATTGGAAGGTTTTAAGCTAAGGAGGGACATGCCATGAAATGTGATGTCTGGCCTCAGGGAAGCAGGTGCACCCACCAAATGAGTTCAATTTGGGTGTCTTTTAAAGGACTACCTGATGCATTGGATGTAGAAGATGAGGGAATGCAGAATGCTCCGGAGTATTGTCCTGAGAACCAGGTAAATGGTGATGCTTTTATTTACTTACATGGGAAAAATTGGGAAGGAATACATTAAAAAAGGAGACTTGAGAAACTAAGAGTAAATATTTTGGATTAATGTTAAATTTGAGGATTCTATGACACATCCAAGTACAGATGTCAGAGAGGCAGGTGGTTATTCAAGTCTGAACTTCAGAAGGATGGGTTAGGGCTGACAATGTTGCTATGAGACCCATCCTTGTGGACCTCTGCTGTCTGGGCAACTGAGATACAATAGAAGCCATTTAACTTATTCTAATGGTACCTAGAAATTCAGCATGATCTGCTAATATCTTCACTACATTTTGTCTGGAATATTTACTAAATTCTACATCTACTGAAACTATCAGACATTAGACGAATACATTTCAAAATACAGGAAGTATGTTCTGAAAAGTTAAAGAATATGATTTTCAATTGAATTTACTTAGCTTATTTAAAAGTTACTTTGTTTCTGAGCGACAGCTGTATCAACATGACAGAGCTTTCCTTGATGATCCACCAGTAAAAGCGTTGGGGTGCAGATACCTGTTGAGCTAACAGTCTCTTTCTAGAATTCAGTCCTAAGGAAATAACCAAAGAACTGGATCATTTTCTCAACAAAGATGTTCATCTCATCATTACTTGTAAAACAAACATTGGAAGCAAAGTAACCACCAATAAATGGTATATTCTATCATTATGGCATAGGATGGGCACAGTGGCTCACATCTGTAATCTCAGCACTTTGGGAGGCCGAGGCAGGTGGATTGCCTGAGGTCAGGAGTTCAAGACCAGCCTGGCCAACGTGGCAAAACCCCGTCTCTACTAAAAAATACAAAAAATTAGCCAGGCATGGTGGCAGGCACCTGTAATCTCAGCTACTTGGTAGGGTGAGGCAGGAGAATCACTTGAATACAGGAGGCAGAGGTTGCAGTGAGCCAAGATTGCACCACTGTACTCCAGCCTGGGCAACAGAGCAAGACTCCATCTCAAAAAAAAATTTTGGGGGGGCATATTCATAAAATGGAAAATTATTCACACATTAAAATGATGTCAACAAGAAGTTTTTTGGAACATGGTCGGTATAGTTATGATATAAAATTAAGTAAATGATATGCATAGGTGCACGTACAATATTATCTCAATTACATAAAAATATGCATGCATAAAAATGACCAGACAGAGGGAAATAACTTCAAAATCTTTAGCGCTATTAACCATAGGGGATGGAATTCCTTCTTAAATTGCTTTGTCTAATCTTTCTATCATGGGCATGTGTTATTTAGTATTCTGAAACAAATCTAGCATTTGGATTAAAGACAATGAAAAAGAAACAGGAAAATAGAACTAGCTGTGGCCTGGGATTTGGGCCTGTGGTCCTGGTTTGCCTTCCCTCCAGCTTCGAGCAGAAGGAATGCCATTCTTTTTCTAGATCTCAGATTTCTTACTTGCAAAATCTGGACAGGTGTCCTACCCTGTTTCCCTCTTGGGGTTGGTGAAAAGATTCCGTGGTTATGCCAGCCAAGGGGCTGATCACAGACGCAGTTTAAAGTTTGGAATGTGAAGTGTAGGCCCCAAGGTTCCAGGGTGTCCTATTTCCTGAGGAGCACAGTTAGTCTGGGAAGGAACCGGGAAGGGGGAGCAAAGTTCACAGCTCCTTTGTGAATCGTGTCCAGGGTCCCCTAGGAGATGGGTCTTCCAGCATCCACGACGTGAGCCCAGTCCTGACTCCTTCGTGCCTTAGGGCTTGATAGTTAGATGCGAGCGACCTCAGCGATCACCTGATAATAATACTTGTTTTAAAGTTATATGAAAATTCACCACAGTCAGGATTGATGCCTTTTACTCATTTTGTTCACCATTTTGTTCATGAATTCTACCCAATATCTACCTCTGTAGTTGGAGTTATTAAATTCATTGTTATGTGGCTGGTGCACACCAACTCCTGCGTTTGGAATGAGTGAGATTCACAGCAAGCTGGGATAACAGAAGTTTTCTTTCTGTAACAACTCAAAGCACAGAGGGAGACAGAGATGTTGGGGCATAATAACATAAATCTAAGTGATGTACTACGAGGCAATCACTGGGGCTGTGCTAAAAGTCTGAATGTCTCTGGGTGCTTGAGGTTTGGGTTGCTTCTTCCATCTCCTCCTTCGTGTTCACCTATTTGAAATAATCTCTGGCTCCATTCAGGAGAAAACAAGATGGAACCCAATGACTGGCCACCACGGACAGATGCAAGGGAGAAGGAGAAGGGCCCCCAGTGGGAAAAGGTGAGTTGGGGCACGTTTAAAGAGCTCCCAAGGCTTAGGGCTTGGAGCTTGGTGGTGAAGGGAGAAGTCTAGAGGCAAGAGGCTCTAGACTGAAAGAGTGGCTGAAAGACGGGCAACTGCTTAGGCAGCAGCCAGGGTTGAGAACAAAGGTTGCCATGACCTTTGAGGAACAGGAGGGCAACCTGAATAGGGCACAGGACCCATCCCTAATTCTTCCTCTATGGTGGGTGCTATGGACATTGCAACAGGCAACTTGAACCCGAGGAAAGAATCCTTGAACTCCTTGCAAGTGACTACCTGGCTAATCCTCGGACAGACACTCTTCTCCAGTTATGGCCTTCACTGCCTTGCCCTTCTGAAATTAAGGGGACGGTAAGGGTGGTAAGGGGGTTTCAGTTACAGGAGGAAATTAAGGCTTAAAAAGGCAAAGCACAAAATCCTTATTTAGATTTTGATTCAAACAAAGAAACCATTAAGAGAGAGAGAAAAAAATGAGGACATTATGAAACAATTAGAATTTTCAGATTTAGAAATGACTAGATATTTGATGATAAGACACTACTAACATTTTATACATGGTAATAGTATTGTGCAGTATGTTAAAAGAAGTCATTATCTTCTAGAAATACATTTTAATGGACATAATAAAATATTTATGGGTATAATGCAGTGTCTGCCATTTGCCTCAAAATAATGATGGAGTTGGAGAAGTTGGATAAGGTTATGAATGGAAGAAGATTGGCTATGAGTTGGTCATTGCTGAGACTGAGTGATGAATAGGACATGGTTGTTAGTCAAATTATTTTATTTTTGCACATGTTTAAAACTGCATAATGTTGAGGTCTAGCAACTTGTCTGTTTCCATGGCTAGTAAGTGACAAAGGTGAAAGGGACCTGAGGGCTGTTTGTTCCTTGAGCCTGTGCTCTTGATGACTTTACTCCTCTATGTCCTTTCAACCCACCTGGGGCAAGGAACGTCCTCCCCAGCATCCCCCACATGTGCTCTTTTTTCTGGACACCTTCTGAGTCAGGCTATTTCACTGGAAGATTCCTCTCCACGATGAGCTGTAACTTTGATCCCCTCATCCTGTTTCTTGTCAGAGAAGCTTCCCCTGACCACTGCCACCCCAGGCTAGGGTACGTAGACTATGCTAAGCTTCTAAAGTGATCTATAGACTCCTTGATGGGACTCATCACATGGACAGTTAATTACCTCTTCAGTGTCCACCTTCTCCTCTTGGCTACAGCCCCATGGAGTCAGGGTTGCCTGCTACATTTACTGCAGTGTATAGCTCATTGACCAGACAATTTGCCTTAGGTATATAAATGCAGAAGGGGTTAGCTCTCAGTATGGCCAGGTCACTATATAAGGTTGAGTTCCCTGGAAGGTTGGTACCCTAGGAGGCCCAGGTCAGAATAGAATCCTCAGTCCTTAGTCCACGGTGCTTGCTTTGGGTTAGAGATGTATGTGGTGAGTGGGTGCATGGGGAACAGTGCAAGAATTAGATTACTTCCATGGGGTTTGACATTTTAGAAGAAACTGAGTATTGCCAGTTATTTTTCAAGGCAATAGAAAAGGAAAAACAGTGAATGCCAACATGACATGTCTTATCTTTCTGAACCCACCTAGGGCACTTTGTGCCTAGATTTTCTTAGAATTGCTAAAGGGTGGCTTTGCCAATTTATGCGCTTTCTGTTTTTGTTTTCTCTGGGAAAGCTTCTGGGTTTTGGCCAAAGGGCCTGGAATTGCATGCGGTGGTCCCTAGGATGCCAGATGAGTGTAGAAAACTAGCTGGGATGTGCTGTGGAGGGCGCCCTGTCTGAAATCACAGCCCACTTTTGTGATTTGGTTCTTAGGGACAGGAGGACATGTGGGCTTACAGAAATTGTCACACTTGAACTGTTCAAATAAAAGTTGTCTCATGGTAGTGCTTGCTGAATTTTCAATGATAATATTTATTCATTTTTGCATTTTCATTATGTAAATTCAAAGATAAGTTACGTTTAAAAGGAAACTTAAAGATGGAGTGCAGTGGCTCATGCCTGGAACCCCAGCACTTTGGGAGGCCAAGGCAGAAGGATTGCTTGAGGCTAGGAGTTCAAGACAAGCTTGGGCAACATAGGAAGATCTCGTCTCTATCATTAAAAAAAAAAAAAAAAAAAAAAAGATCAGCTGGGTGTGGTGGTGCACACTTGTAGTCCTAGCTGCTTGGGAGGCTAGGGTGGGAGGATCACTTGAACCCACGAAGTGAAGGCTGCAGTGAGCTATGATCATGCTAGTACTTTCAGCCTGGGTGACAGAGTAAGATTATGTCTCAAAAAAAAGAAAAGAAAAGAAAACTTAAAACTTCCATCAGGGATGACTAAGAGGATAGACTTTTTTTTTTTTAATTTTTGAAAATAATATGTACTTTTTCTTTAAGAATGAAAGTTTCTAATCCTCTGTATTCAGATTTTATTGCTATTTTTCATTTTTGTTTGTGCTATCCATAATAACAGTAGTAATTTTTATTTATAAAATTAAACTGATATCTGTTCTTACTGTGGTAATGTATACAGAAGGCAGGGTTTACCCTCTGAACCCTCTTTAAGTGCATAGCTCAGCGGTATGAAGCACATTCACATTGTTGTGCAGTCATCACCACTACCTATCTCCCGAACTTCTTCAACTTCCCAAAGTGAAACTCTGTGCCAACCAAATACTATAATAATTCCCCATTCCCCCTCCCCTAGCCCCTGGTAACCGCCATTCAATTTTCTGTCTCTATGAGTTTGAAAACTCTAGATACCTCATGTAAGTGGAATCATTCAGTATTTGCTGTTTTGTGACTGGTTTATTTCACTTAGCATAAAGTCTTCAGGGTTCATCCATGTTGTAGCACATGTCAGAATTTTCTACCTTTCAAGGTTGAATAACATTTCATCATATGTATATAATAATTTTTACTTTAAAAATTCTTATTATGGAAAATTTCAAAGACACATAAAAACACAGACAGTAGTATAATGGGCTCCCAGGTACCCATTCTCCCACTTCAACAAACTCTATTTACACTTCCATCCACTCCATCCCCTACCTTATAAAGCTAATTCCAGGAGTATCATTTAATTTACAAATATTTCAGGATGTATTTAAAAGATAGAGGCTCTTATTAAAAACATAACCACAATACCATTCTTCTGCCCCAAAACATTTCACAATGAGTCTGTAGTATAGCTCTCACGTCACTGTCTAAATTCCTGTATAGTTTTTTTTATTTGATTGTATTTTTTTAATATAACTAGCCATTTACACTTCAAAAGATCTAAGTGGTGGTAGAGAGGGGTAGTTCTAAACCAAGATAAATGGAATTTGTACAAATCAGACTCCAATTAAATTTCATGTACTTGAAACAGTCTTTTCCTTGCCTATCTGTTCCAGCTTGTCTGCTCACCTGTAAAAGCAACAATAGTAGTGAAACAATTGCTCCTTTGCAGTTGAGACCCTCCAAAGATTAATCCTGTTCATTTTTTGTACTCTCGGTTCTGGATATGGCTTCTTCTTACCCTTCTCCAGGAAAATTGAGTAGTGCCTAGTTTTGAGAGGGGTAAGAAGATTGCCTCTTGAATGTACCTGGAACTATTAACTGCAACTTGAAAGCGAAAAGACTTATGACAAAAAAAGAAAGAAAAAGAAAATGAGTGTGAGGTACTGGAGGACATTGGAAAACAGATCTAAGGATAAGGATAAAATAACACGAATTATCCAGGGAATTTCTAGGACAAAAGTTGGAAAATCATACCCTGGGTAAAGGACAACATGAAAGAGGAGATTTGGGGCAGGAATTTTACCAACAATCAATCTAAGAGAAAACTTTCCTATCTTGTTATCATTATTGTTTTATGTTAAATTAGAGTCACCAGATAAAGCACAGGATGCTTAGTAAAATCTGAATTTCAGATAAACAATGAATAATTTTTAAAGTATAGCTATGACCCAAAGTATATAGACATGCTTATACTAAAAAAATTATTGTTTATCGGAAATTGAAATTTAATTGAGCAGCCTGTATTCTTATTTCCTGAATCTAGCAAGTTAATATTAAACACATGGTAGCCAGGTATGGGGGCTCTTGCCTGTAATCCCAGCACTTTGGGAGGCCAAGGTGGGCAGATCACCTGAGGTCGAGAGTTCAAGACCAGCCTGGCCAAAACAGTGAAACCCTTTCTCTACAAAAATACAAAAAATTAGCTAGGCATGATGGCGAGTGCCTGTAATCCCAGCTGCTAGAGAGGCTTAGGCAGAAGAATCATCTGAACCCAGGAGGCAGAGGTTGCAGTGAGCCAAGATGATGCCATTGCACTCCAGCCTGGGAGAGAGAGCGAGACTGCATCTCAATAAATAAATAAATAAACAAACACACATAAACAAATAATAAAAAATAAAAAAATATTAAATGCATGGTGATTCAACTTATAAACTGAGAACTATTTGGCCTTTAGGCTCTTAGTTTTCTTTTTTGGAATGTGGTTGAATTTTCTTTATTCAGTCTGCTTGTCTTGTATATCTATCTAACATTATAGCATTATATTTTAAAAATTGGCCCAGTTTACATTAGCACCAAATATAAGTGTATAGTCATACACTTCACAATGATATTTTGGTCAGTGTGTATGTTTTGGCCAATGATGTATGGTCTGCATATATGATAATGATCCATAGTTTATGATTCCATATTTTTACTGTACCTTTTCTATGTTTAGATACACAAATACTTACCATTGTGTTACAACTGCGCACAGTGTTCAGTATAGTAACATGCTGGACAGATTTCTAGCTTGGCAGCCATAGGCCATACCATATTGCTTAGGTGTATATTGGGCTATACTGTCTAAGTTTGTGCAAGTCCACTCTGGGATGTTCCCACAATGATGAAATTGTCTAATGATGCATTTCTCAGAACATATCTTGATCTAAGCAATGCATGACTCTACTTATTTTCTTCTACACTTAGCAATATCAGGTATGATTAGTTTTTTCATTTTTGCTAACCTGCAGGGCAAAATGTTTGAGAGCTATTAGTTTAGAACACTTCTTAAATGAGGCAAACTGTTCTCTTGTGACTCCTAGAATCAAGGTTTTATTCAAAAAGAATTTTACATTTTATTCTATATTATAGAAATTTGTACGATGAAATGTAATGATGTCTAATGCATTGGCTGTTTTTAAATTCCAGTGCTGGATTTCCCAGCTACTGGCAGTGAAACTGACATTCTCTGTACATACTCAAGTCAACACTCAAGAATTTCAACTCACCTTTAGCAAAAGCAAATATTTATATTTAAAAAGGAAACATTTGAATTGAGAATTCATTAAGATAACAAAGTTAGCAAACTAAAGATGGCTTGTTAGTTGATAGCCCTAATGGCAATGTCTAGGTCAGATAACTTATATTGACTTAAAACAGCATTGCCCTTGACTTTGCACAATCATATTTGTAATTATGGCAATAATTTTAAAAAACTAATCTCTTTAATCTACATTTTCACAAAACACTGTTGAAAGACCAAATGTCTGCTCAGTTGTTTTTTCCTTTGCTTAAAAAATAAAAAAGTACCAGGAATCCCACCCCACCCTGCTGCTGGGTAACAGTCAATCATTTATTATTCCTGGATCAAACACAAGCATTCATGCCTATGAAAATGTTTTGCAATGAATGGGATCTTGGTCTCTACTAAAAACAAAAAATAGCTAAAAAGAGACTTCAATTTATTTTCAAATTCTATGGCTGAATTCCTATAATTCCTAACTGGTGAAAACATTGGCAAGCTACAAGATTTTACTTAGAGTCAGATTTACTTCTTTGGTGTATGCCCAGAGGAGCTATTGAAAGCTATTTGTGGCTAGCTTTCCAGGAGACCAAATGGACCTTACATGGAATGAATATTGACTCTGCAGTACAGTGCACAAGGAGAAGTAGGAGAGTTAGATACTTTTACTTAGAAAAAAAAAAAGCTAATTGGTTATACTTAACCAATTTCTACACAGAAGTTTTAGTATTTGGCAAAGCAGAAAGTCACGTCTCAAAATCACCAAACTTACTATAGCTGATCCATTTCTGTTGTATTTTGATGTTAATCTGGGAGTTATATCTTAATAAAAGTCTCATATAATCATGTAATTTAATCAACCTCACTACATATTAATACAATCACTTTCAATCCAGACTCAACAGTTTTCCATTCCTCAGGCCTAATCAGCCTGATATGGTTTGGATGTTTTGTCCTTTCCAAATCTCATGTTGAAATGTGATCACCAATGTTGGAGGAGGGGCCTAGTGGGAGGTGTTTGGGTCATGGGGGCAGATCCCTTATGAATGGCTTAGTGCCTCACCAGAAGCTCAGCAGATACTGGTACCAAGCTTATACAGCCTGCAGAACCATGAGGCAAATAAATCTCTTTTTTAAAATAGACTACTACCCAGTCTCAGATGTTCCTTTATAGCATTGCAAAATGGACTAACACACAGCCCTAAACCTAATTAAACCCGTAGAAACCAATACATCCTCCAAAGTAATCAATTCCTCCAAAACTGATCATACCCCTTCCCCTAAGCATTCCCAATCGCCAAGTTAACCAATAGCCATGATCCACCAATCATCCATGAAACAAATGTCATTGTGGCAGAGACCACTAATCTTTCAATATCCATTTTTCATTTCCTCATTTCACTAATAAAAACCTCTACATTTTAGCTGAGCACATGACCTCACAGACAGATATGATATCTTCTGTGATCCTTTGCATCTGGGTATGGCCATATGACTAAGCTCTGGGTAATGAGATGTTCGCAAAAACAGTGCGTTCAACTTCCAAGTCAAGTTCTTAGGAGAAACTATCCATTCCCTCTGTCCCCCTCTCCTCGGGCGGGACAGTTTGAAGGAAAGTGGTGAGCCAGATTTGATCATCTGCATGAGGACAACACTATAGGGGAGGGTGGAGCAGGAAGAAAGAATGGGGCCCAAGTCTCCTTGGGGAGCAGTGCAGCCTACATGCCTTGGAC